AAACAGTCAGAATCGGAACAAAAAATCGGATTCCTCCGGTTTGATTTCGCACGAACGAACCACATGACACGGGAAAGAAATCGAAGTCCAAGGGTGAAAAGAGATCGAGAAAGGCAAAGAGAAAATAAGTGCATAGTGTATTGTTTGCACTCAAGCCGGACTACAAAATGCCGCGGAATTACTCGTTCGCAAATCCAACGGTGTAATTTAAAAATTTCCACACTCGGATCTGTCGATTCTGCCCAACCTTTGAACAATGGCCTCCCTTCGTTCAATCACGCTCGGACAAAAAGAAAACTCGATTAATCAAACGGAATCGAAATATCAATCCTTCTACGGTCATTTTGTCGACTTTGATACCAACGCTTCTGACAATAGAACTTTACAATCAAATAGCAAAATTATTACGGTTGGAATTTTATTTCGAGATCAATTGTTTCTACGAAATTGTTTACACTCTTGTGTGACAGATGTCGGTGTTCCTGCCGCTTGTAATAATTAATAATCCACTCCCTTTTTATTCTCTGACGTTTCGCAGAGTTCGTTGTTCAACGCAGTTGAACACACCATGTTCGTAAAAGTTCCCTGTTAAATGCAATCGAGATCGTAAAAGCGAGATCTCCCTCGTCGAACAATAACGTTCTCCCGCGTAAAGAGCGGCGTTTAAAAGGAAATTAAAAAAAAAAAAAAAGAAACAAAGAGGGAGAATTTCGAAACCTGTTGTCACACTCGATCGAGAGTTCGACACGAGCGGACGTTGGTTTCAATGTTCCCTTCAATTCTCTGCGTTTCCGCTCCTGCTCGTAGCGCAGTGAACTTCACTCAAGACGCAAGTAGAGTCGACGAGTATACAAGTCCGCGAGGAAATTAGTTTCAGTTGTAATTATCGTGGCGAATTCGACTTCATAATTCATATGTTTACACGAAAGAAGTGGTTACACGGAAGAAAGTGTGACGAGGAAGGGGGCCAAGAGAAAGGACGGTGACTCAATTATGGAGATGGCCGCGCTCTCCGTGGCATCCTGACGGTTAATTATTCAGAAACTGGCGACAACCCACTCGCGTCTTAGCCGCTCGTTCCACCTCCACGTTCGCTGGAAGTCGAAGGAACTCCGAAAAAGAAAAAAAAAAAAGGAATTTACGCGTCGTTACGCGATTAAATCGAACCCCCTAAGCTCGCGAGATTTTCCTATTAATTACTTTACGTTGCCGGCCGCTCGCCGGCAATTAATTAAAATTATGGGAAAAGTTCCGAACCACCTGTTACGTGTTTAGAATTATTTCTCCGCCGTTCAACCATCCCTCGACTAATGAAATTCTTCGAGAACAACGAGAGAGACAGAGAGAGAGA